CATGTCACAAATGTACATCATGTAGAGTGCATTACATGGTGGGAGCTGCAATAATCAACATAGACATATTTGTTTGGTCGGCGGGACCATAATTGACAGGATAGAGGTCGGAAAGACCATAGTAGGTAGGAGACCGGGGTCAGAAATACCATTGTCCGGCGATGTAGGTCAAAAGAGGGGTCAAAATTATTTGAGTTGATGCTTGGACTTCCCTTTTGGTGAGTTGCTGATTTCACTTCTAAAATCAACTCATTATTGTGTATTTAATGCCAAATTAGATTCATTCCCCCCCCTCCCTCCTTTTCTTCCCTCTCTAATGACTCTTTGGTTTCCCCACCTAGCTTCCCTTTCCATGGCTTCCTTTCCCCTTCCTTGACCCTTCGGTTTTCACCCTGCCTGGCTCTACCCATGGCTGGTTCCTGCACCTTTTTTGGGTTGGCTGTTTCGATTCTCCAGGCTGGCTCCGATCCCCTGTGCTACCCTTTGGTTTCTCCCCTGGCTGCCTGTCCCATGGCTGCTTTTCTCTATTTTTTGTGAGGCTTTTTTGGTGTTGTTCTGGAATGACTTTTGACCTTCTATATCCCCTTTTTAATTGGTTTAAATGGAAGTTATGGTGGCTGTTTGACTGCCCTTATATTATATATATATATATATATATATATATATATATATGATGTTTTTGTAATAAAAAAGAGGTAATGTGAGGTATTTTTAGAGATGAAAATCTGAGGCTTTCTTAGAAAAGCTTGAGAGCTTGTTTCACTTTTTCTCTCTTCTTCTAGGAAAGCTTGCGAGCTTGTCCTCCCTTCGTCTCGTTTTCTAACCTTTTTCTTCTCTTCGCAAGTTCGACGCCATCTGTACCTTTCTTCTTGGTTAAGGGATGCAACTTTATGAGCTTTTATTTAAAAGTTTGTGTCTTTCTATTATAAAAGTCAAGTTTTTTCGTTAAATGGTTGTATTTTATTAATTTTGTGATATTTTGGAAGGTGTCCTAGTTTGTTTGAAATTTTTTATATTTTCTATATCCTAGGAGGTGCATCTTTTTTACTTGTAAAAAATTGGGGTCTTTCCAAATTTTTTGCTTGGATCAATTTGGTATCAGAGCTTAGGTTTTGGCGTCTTCCTTTCTATTTCAAAAAATTGAAAAAATTATGAACCCTCATCGACAAACGGAGGATCCAAAGCAAGAAAAAGAAATGATCCAGAAAAAGTACACGACTTTAATTCAATAATTGGATGTGGCACCTTCAACTCATCAGGAAAGTTTTAAAGTCATCTCATCAGGGGATGAGAACTCTCAACCATGGAGAATTGATGTAGACAAAAGAGGAATTTTGGTGTTCTTCATGCCGATTTTAATTCCCAAAAGATGCATTTTCGGTTTCCCCTTTATGAGCCATTTAATGCTTCAATTTTCCCTCACTTTTGGGGCTGTTTTGATGCTTCGGTTTCTTCCCCAGGCGGCTGCCCCTTCGGTTCCTACTTGCTGCGGTTTACAAGGGTTATCTATTGGCTGATTTTAAGGTGCATTAAATACATATATTAATTGTCTTTTTTTACTTTTTCTTCCCCTATATAAGGGCTATTTTGTGTTTGTTTTAGGAGAGTTTTTGTGAGTGAGAAAATATTTGGAATGTAAACCTGTGGGTTTTCTCTAGCTTGCGAGCTAGCTTCTTTCCCCTTCCCCTCTTTGAATTCATATCGGGCTTCTTATTTATTTCTTCTATCCACAAGTGTCCACTCCATTGTATCTTTCTTCTCTTTAAAAACTTATATGCTACTTGTGTTGTTGTTACAAGCTTATAGTGTCAAATTTAGTGTGTTTTGTCATCTTTAAAGGATTTTGAAAGGAAGAGACTTTGAAAGGAAGACAAGTCTCTTAATTTACAACCTTAGCTTTCAATAATTTTGGTTGCATCAATTTGGTATCAGAGCCTGTGTTTGTCAAGTGAGTCTTGGTGAGTCATAAAGTTGTCAAGATGGATAAACTTTAAGTGGAAAACAGTCAAGAAAGTAAGCCCAAAGAATTTGAAGATTTTATTCCTAAAAGTCAATGGATCTCACCATAAGAAAGTTCTTCAGGCCCGATACGATTGAACTTCTCAAGATTCAAGAACAACTACAATTATGTGCTGAGAGATATGAGTCTAAGAAGCGTTCATTTCTAGAAGAATTTGAACGAGAAAAGGAAACCATCAAACGAAAGTATGATATTCTAATTCAAGAATCCGAAATGCCAAATCTCCAAAATTTTGAAGGCAACTCATCGAGAGATGAGTATTTTCAACCAGAAGAGAATTTATGTAGGCAAAAGGGGGGTCAAAATTATTTGAGTTGATGCTTGGACTTTCCTTTTGGTGAGATGCTAATTTCTCTTCTAAAATAAGCTCATTATTGTGTATTTAATGCCAAATTATATTCATTCCCCCCCTCCCTCCTTTTCTTCTCTCTCTAATGGCTCTTTGGTTTCCCCACCTAGCTCCCCTTTCCATGGCTTCCTTTCCCCTTCCTTGGCCCTTGGGTTTTCCCCCTGCCTGGCTCTACCCGTGGCTAGTTCCACCCCCTTTTTTTGGGTTGGCTGTTCCGGTTCTCCAGGCTGGTTCCGATCCCCTGTGCTGCCCTTCGGTTTCTCCCCTAGCTGCCTGTCTCGTGGCTGCTTTTCTCTATTTTTGGTGAGGCTTTTCGGGTGATGTTCTGGAATGACTTTTGGCCTTTTATATCCCCCATTTTAATTGGTATAAATGAAAGTTATGGTGGCTATTTGGCTACCCTTTTTATCCTATATATATATATATATATATATATATTAATTATCCTAGATGTTCTTCTTTAATAGACCAAAAGCAGTCGAACCAAGCAATAAACCAGATCAGTTTTCAAGCTTTTCTGGCATATATTTATTTAAGGTTCAATTTTCTAATATTTTTATGGATTTAATTTTATTATTTTTTATAAAACAAATATTATAACAATATAATGATAGGAGTAAGACAAAGATAAATACCAAAAAATGACAAAATTTATAAAAAAAAATACAAAACCCAAATACATATAGCATAAAACCAATGAAAAAAATCATCCATTAATTTACATATAGCATATAATGATAGGAGGACTCCTTTATTAGATTTAAACGAGAATTTGACTTTTAATAGGACACAATGGAGACAAAGGATTCATGTAGCCGACCCCACGTAGTGGGATAAAGGCTTGATGTTGTTGTTGTTGTTGTTGTTGTTTCAATATCCTAGGAGGTGTATCTTTTTTCTTGTAAAAAAATTGGGATATTTCCTAATTTTTGCTTGCATCAAGGTCGGATGGACCGTAGTATGCAAAAGATTAAGATCAGAAAGACTGTTTTTTTGGCGATGTAGGTCGAAAGGACCGTAGTAGACGACGGAGGTTGGCAGGACCATAGTTGGCAGGAGACAGGGGTCCGAAAGATCATAGTTGATCGGAAATAAGGGACAGAAAGACGGTTGGAGTAGGGCGGTACTCTGATAGAACTCTGGGCATCAGGTGGTGACCCGACAGAAGTCCGGGCCTCAGGTGGTGGTTCAGTAGAAGTCCGGGCCTCAAGTGGTGGTCCGGCAGAAGTCCGGGCGTCAGGTGTTGGTCCGGCAGAAGTCCGGGCATTAGGTGGTGGTCCGGGAGAAGTCCGGGCCTCAGGTGGTTGTCTGGCAGAAGTCCGTGCCTCGGGTGGTGGTCTGGCAAAAGTTCGAGCCTCAGGTGGTGGTCCGGCGGAAGTGAGGATCTTAAGTGGTGGTCCGGCGAAGTAACGACGTTAGGCGGTGGTCCGACGGAACTCAGGCGGTGGTCGAGGAGGAGATTCTTCCTTCTCTTCCTTCTCTTCTCTTCTTCTCTTCTTGCTTGGAGCCTCACCCTCTCGAGAGAAAGGTGTGGTCTATTTATAGATTTCTGGATTGGCATGGCCCTAAAATAGGTGAGAGATCAATGGTAAATGGGGAGTGTTTGGATGGACGGTCGATGTTGAATCCCTTGATCAAGGACAGTTTGATGGACATTTGAATGCCTTAGTGATGTTGGAATTTTATGATCTTAAGCTCGTTGGATTCGTCTCATCGAGCCTCTCGATTCGACTATAAGTACGTAATGTTTGGAAACTGTTTGGTAATCCAAATTGTGGTCCGAACCTTCCAACAGCGTTTCGGGTCCTTGATTTCAATTTATTTGGACTCGGATTGAGTTGAATTTGGTGTCGTTGGGTTCGTATTTTTGAGACATTCAGTTTGACTGTAAGTTTGCTGAAATCGGAGTTCGGATGATCCCAATTTTAATTTCAGAAGTTTCCAACTTGATTTTGCCTCGCGATTCGTGCCCGATTAAGATAATTTTTTAAGGACGTGTCAAATATGAAGATAATGGAAATGCTTCTAGCCTACAAGAAAATTTATCGGGAAAGATGGTGTTTTTGTTGAGAGATGCAGAATCTTTGATCCAAGGATCTGAATATGATTTTTATACCTACCTCAATACCGATGATGTGCCTTAGTGGAGTTGAGATCTTTTGATGCAAGGGCAAAATGCAGTGCGTCATTAACTAAATAAACTCTTACGACTGGGCTATCTTCTTATTTTCTAAAAACTTCTTAGCATATTATATACAAGCATTGTAAGGGGAAAAGGAGATGACGAATATTATATCCATTTTGAAGCTTTAAACTTGGTATTTGGTTTCTTATTTGATATTTCTTCTAGCATATTCATTTCTTCCGCCGATCCACTACATCAAAAGTTAGGCACGTTAATAAGTACATTTAACGCTATTGTTGCCAACTTGAAAAATATTTTTAGAAAAAAAAAATAAATTAAAAAATATCTCCTAATAGTTATAAGAAAGGCTGAAAATAATATTATTAATTTTCCAGCAAAAAAGTTCTTTAGAATGCACAAGTATGTCAAAATAAACAAAAAAAGGAACAGCAGCCATAACTCCATGCAAGTAATTTACAACAAAGTCCAAAGGAAGCTTTCCTAACTGAAGCAAAACCTGTATTAATATCACCCAGATCCTCAAGGAAGGCAACAGATTGCTGTCCATGAGTAAATTCTGTAGCAGCAATAGCCTGTTGATATGCTTGAAAAGTGAGGATACCAATAAGAAGTGCCATTTTTGACCCAACATGAAATTTTGGGAATGAAGAACGAGAAGCACACATATGGTGCCTCTTTATGATATCTCGAATTTCATCTATTAAAAAGTATCCAACTTTGTTCTCCTTCACATTCAAAGATTTACTCCTGTCAACGCATCCGAACTTCTGCAGAAATACAAAAACAATCAATCTTAGCACCAAAATTTTTGGGAGACAATTTATGAAAATGAAATGTGGGAAATTTTATCATCACATACAGAAAGTACAAGATTAAAACTGTAGAATTTAACTACTTCAGACTTCAGATAATTAATAGTAGTTAGAAGAACTGAACAGGATTTTCGTCCTCACATTTTAAGGCCAATCATGGACAAATCTAAAACCTAGCCTTAAAGCAACCATTAGGTAAAGGTGAAAATAGGTAAATTACCTGTTATAAGAAGGGTTCACTCAGGTTCTTTGCTATAAGAAGCTTTTGGAATAATCTCCACAGCAATGAGGGTCATTTTATTACAAAATACACCATACCAATTATTAAAAAACAAAAGAGGGATCACGTTAGATGATTTCACAGTAGTCTCTAAAAGTCAAATGAACAGAAGGGCCTATCATGGACAAAAACTAATGGGTCGTATTAGCCAATTTTTAGAAAAGAGGGACTAAAGTGCCACTCAAAAAGTATTTTTGCATTCTCATAGATGGATGGCTATGGAACAAAACATAAAATGGTTATCATAATGGTTTTCGTCTTTTACAAGTGTTAGAAAATTTAATCATCCTGTTGTGGGCTCCGAAAATTCGGCCCCGGCCTCCCCGCCGCACAACTGATTTGCTGCTTTTTGCTTTGGCGAGGGGAGTTTTAACGGAATAAGTTCCGGGGTAAATTTTGGAAGGCAGATGGGTTTGTAGATAAGACACTACCCAGAGATTTCGCCCTCATTTTGCGAGGACTTTATGATCTGAGTTCTGGTTTCCTATAGGCGCAAGCCCCTATAGTTAATTACCCCTCCCGATTATGAGAGAGAACTTTCGATTAAGGCTACTCGTCAATCAGATACGTAAAGATACGTGTTATCTGGCATATAGTAGCAGCATAGATTTGGATTTCGCAATTGTGTTTGAATTTGGGTATTTGGAAAGTTAAAAATTTGGAGATTGAAAAATTTGATATTTAAAATAGAAATTTCACCATCTTGCACTTAAAGCGGATGGTGGGAGAATGGATGATAGACCCGATCAAGATCCCATGGTTCTGTCGTCCCGGGCCATTGTGGTCCCTGGTCTACTTAGTTAAAGGAGGTAGTCGACCCAACCTGACAGAAGGATCCTTGTCGGCAGCCATGGGTTGCTTCGTCCAAGGGGACCTTGTAGACCTGGGTTGAATGTTTATCTAAAGGGGACAAATTTAAATCCACCTTAGCTAACAGAGGGCTTTGTGCCCTATCGATCATATCTTATTGATTCATATCTCAAGGATTTGATGTCATTAAGGAGCGTATTGGCTCTGGCCATAACCGGTATTTTGTGGTGCCATTTGGCGGCAAAACCACTCGGTTCAGAGGACCCCGGGTCATAACCGTTTATACTGCGGTGCCATTTGGCGGCAAAACCGCCGGTTAGAAGACACGTACCACGTCCTTACTGGCAGGAGATTATTTGAGAATGGATCCTAGTGACTAGGCATTTAGCTCTTTGTGAGCTGAAGTAAATTTTGATTTGTCCACCCTTGCAAACTGTTGCTGAGGGTGGATGGATTTTGCTTTAAGTGTTTGATAATTAGATTTTAATTTTAAATATTTTTGGATTTTGGAATGATTTTTGGGATTTTGGAATTTGGATTTTGATAGACATTTGGGTATTTGGATGGTATTTGAAATTATTTGTGAACCCCTCCGGTTGAGATTTTCATTCAACACGGCCATCATCGGGGTGTTTGGGGGTATTTTCATTTTCTGGATTGAACCTTGTCGACTCTGTCTACTGGTCGACAGATGATCAGGTTTCATGGGTTTTATGCATTTGTTAGTGAACTCATATTGTTATAGGCCTTGAAGGCCTAATATGAATGTATTAAAATAAATATATCGGTCGTCATAACCATATATTTGCTTAATGGTTCGAACCCTGTCGACTTCTATTAATCCGTATAGAAGGATCGGGTTCGAACTTGAATTCACTTAATAACCCGCGCAGCATCCCTAGACGTCACGTGTGTACCAATAACACGCTCGCCGGGGCCCATGCAGGTTATGATTTCTTTTACCCCTTTTAGTGTACCTATGTGTATACAAATTACGGTGCACGTGTAGGGGTACTTTAAAATATTTGTAAACGCCTTCTATCCGCTTGTATGATTGTTGCGGATCCGGTGGCATGGCATTGTAGTTTGTGGACGCTTTCTATCTGCTTGTACGAATGTTGCAGATCCGATGGCATGGCGTTGTAGTTTGTGGACGCTTTCTATCTGCTTGTACGAATGTTGTAGATCCGGTGGCGTGGCGTTATAGTTTGTGGACGCCTTCTGTCTGCTTGTATGAGGGTTGCAGATCCGGTGGCGATGAGTTGTAGATTGTGAACGCCTTCTATCTGCTTGTACGAATGTTGTAGATCCGGTGGCGTGGCGTATAGTTTGTGGACGCCTTCTGTCTGCTTGTATGAGGGTTGCAGCTCCGGTGGCGGTGCGTTGTAGATTGTGAACGCCTTCTGTCTGCTTGTACGAATGTTACAGATTCGGTGGCATGACGTAGCAGCTTTAAAATTCAGTGGTTCGCTGCTTTATACAGGTAGACTGTCGTGCACTATTTGTTGCTTTCAGCAGGCGGATCATAGTGCACTAACTAATCTCCTGCCTTATATTTGTAGATATTTTCATTCATCGTAGTTCTTTGGCATTTGTTTATAGATTGTATGTAATATTCGTAGCAGGGCAGGAGCGCGTGAGAGCTTGTATCTGTCATATTCCTAATGCACTTTGTTGTGGTATTTAGCTCGTGTGGTGCATCCGCCACTGCTACAAATAGGCAGGTAGATGTATTCCTTCACATATTGGAATTGACTTCAGGATACTGCATTTACTGAAGTGTTTCTGCATCTACCCATTAGTGGAATGTGGCACATACATCTATCTTTGTAGAAAGATCGTATATGTTACAGATCTTTTATCCTTGCTTGTAGAAGGTTGATGGTATTGACTAATACTGAGTGGCTATCAACTGTATGGATGATTTAGCATCCACTACACATTAATCATCATCACCCATAAGTGGACAACTATATGAGTGAGAATTCTTCTATATTTGCTTGTGGTCAGCATTGTGGACTTGTATCACTGATCTTTGCTTGCAATCAGCTTCAGTAGGTTCTTGAATTTTGACTTTCGACATTCAGAGATAATTACTGTATTCATCTACGAGTTAATTGTCATTGATTGGAGAGAAGTCATAATAATAACTTCGTAGATACACCTTGATGAATCAAGTCATTGATAAGTCACCTCATGATTTATCTATGATTAGACCACACTTCTTCCCTTATTGCACGTTGCTTGTGAGCTCGTTGTGTTTGTAACTTCAGAAATCTTTTGTTGTAGTATTGAATAGTTTGTTGCAAACGAGTTGTGATTACAAGTCATTCATTTGTAGATAATACATGATAGTTGTGTGGAGTCATCATATTCACCATGTGTCCTTATTGATTATTACTTGCAAGCAAATCATGTAGAAATCTTTGAGAACAATATATCATGACATGAAATTTGATTAAGTTATTTATAATTCATCACTACTTGTAAGCAAGTAGAGTTTGCATGTCTCTTATTGTTCACAAATTCCATATATTTTCTTTTGCATTTAATTTGGATCTTATTATTTTACAAATCATAAAATCATTTTAAATGTAGTTTTGATTTGGTATCATCTTAATCCAAGCATGAGTTCAATCCGAGTTCAAGTGCATCCCTTGTTCTTGTCAGCTTCGGTCTACATTCAAGTTCACCTTTGTTTGTTCATGTGGCGAGTCTAAGTCCTTCTCATTTGGTTCAAACCAAGTTCAAAAATCTCATATGATCTTGTTCAATTCAAGTTCATTTGGATCAAGCTTGAATCAAGCTTTGAATTAAGTCTTTTAATTAATCATTCACATTTGCACTTAGTCAATTTAATTGTCCAAATCAAGTTCAAACAAAGTCCACTGTAATTGTCCAAATTTTGTTCAAGTCTGAGTTCAGTTCGAATTCATGTCCACTGCGGTCCCAAATCAAGTCCTCTTGTCCTTTGCTCAAATGTTCAAACCTTTGTTCATCTCATTTGATTTACAAGTTTATTTATTGTTTAAATTGAGTTAAAATCATTTTATTTGCTCAAATACAAATATGAGCTCAAGTTCAAATTGTCCACATTTTATCCAAGTCTTGTCCATAATTCATTAAAAATTTCGGTAACCTCCCGGCGTCTCCCCCGTTTAGGGGAAAACTACGGGAAACTGGGCCATCCCACCAAGCTACTCGAGCGTGTATGATAGGTGTCGGGAGGACACCGGGCCGTACATATTTCATCCCACCACGCTACACGAGCGTGTATGGAGTCTTCAAAAGTACACGTACGAAGAACACAAGTGAATCTCCCCACCACGCTATAAGAGCGTGTATAGGGCTTACCCACTTCGTCGTATGCGTCGCACCTGGCTCCCTCCTACCGTGCTACGAGAGCGCGTATAGGTGGTTCTCCGGTCCGCCGCAAACGCAGAAAATGGAATTTAAAGTGATTACCCGCTTCGTCGTAGGCGTCGCACCGGACTCCCTCCTACCGTGCTACGAGAGCGCGTATAGGTGGTTCCCCGGTCTGCCACGAACAACGAGAATGGGAAATCTGAGTTTTAGGTGATTATCCGTCTTGTCGTAGGTGTCGCACCGGGCTCCCTCCTACCGTGCTACGAGAACGCGTATAGGTGGTTCCCCGGTCCGCCACAAATGACGAGAATGGGAAATCTGAGTTTTGGAGATTACACCTTCGGGGCCGGCGACGATGAGGTAGAAGAAGTGTACAAAAATATATTACAAGATGCACAAAATCATCTCTAATCCCCCTCTCTCTTTTTTTTTAATCATCTCTAATCCCGCTCTCTTATTTTTTTGGAAACTTCACTCTTTTTTTTTTGAACTTTCTTTTTCTTTCTTTTTTTTTGGACACATACATACACATATAATAATTGCTACTGCTACAAGCAATGATAAAAGTCACTGTAATTGACAACACAATAATAGTAGAAACAAATATTAATGCCACATACAAGAACATGATCAAGCAAAACAAGCTTTTTTCACTTATTTCATGACTGTGAGAATGTATTTATAGGAATTGCTACAGATATTTGAGGGTGACTTATTGGTGTTTGACTTGGGCTATTGAAAGGATTAGGTGGGCCGTCTTGAGTTTAAAGTATAGAGAAGCTTAAATGTAGGCTCAAGCTTCAAGTGAAGCCTTTTTATTTTGTGGGCTTTTTATGGATTTAAAGCAGACTGGTTTGAAAGTTGTTGGTTTAGCTGTCAAGTGGAATGGACAGCAATAGTGTGAGGGGAATTGGGTTTGGTGGCTATTTGGAGTGGACTTAGTGTGATTGTTTGGACATATGGGCTGGTTTATGTGGAGGGAGATGCTGTTTTGGGCTGGAAATTGAATGTAAAATAGGCCTGTTCTAATATAACCCGATGCAGATGACAGAATTCACATGGGGAGAAGACGGAGCTTTTGTCTCTTTTTACAGCAAACAAGCATTTAGCCACCTCCTTTTGGAATTTGTTGCAGGTTATAACTGGCAGGGCGTTATTCCAAGGCTCATTCTTGCTGAGAGGTCTACAATAGAGGACCTGGATGTTCACAGCCTTCTCCTTCCCGGAGTGCGACAAAACAAGCATTTTGGTTAGAAAATCAGTGCTGCTGGAACAGAGACTTTGGAGTTTGCTCGCATTGCAGCTTGGCATGATAAGGGAAAGAGAATAGCAGGGAAAAGTTGAACTCTCACTCAGATGACGAGTGGGATCTGGAAGCAGCTGCTTGAGGGAGGAGGAAGGAATCGGGTAAGAGTTTCTTGAGCCGTTGGAAGGAAACGGACTGCAGCTTGACTTTCACCTAAGGAAGCAAGGAGCAGTGCGGCCCTTTGGGGATACTTCAGCTGTAGCGGTGTGAACAAAGAGGGACAGACGAAGAAGAGCTTGGTTCAGTGGAGTTTGGGAGGCTCTTTGCTGAAGTCGGAGCAATTTGGAGGTTGGGGACGTGAGAAGAAGTTGGGCAGAGAGGCTGTATGTGTCTGCTTTCGTAGGAGGGAGCTTGAAGACGGCTTGTTGGAAGAGAGAATAAGAGGAATGAATGCTGTTGGGTGATATTAGATTCCGGTTGGATTTCAAAACCAAGAGAGAATGAAGTAGACGGGCTTGTACTGAAGGAAAATCCCAAATGATAGCTCTCTTAGCCTTGTTTGAGTGACAGAAACAGATAGGTCAGCAGGCACGACAGCAGGGATTTGCACAAAATAAGATATATGAATTAATGGGCATTAATGTTGATTGGAGTTTTTTCCCTGTTTGGCATCTATTTCTTTATAAAATTTTTATTAAGTATATGCTATATTAATGTTCAAGTCATTCATGCATTAATTAAGAATGACAAAACAGCATTAACGAGGTTAAAAACAGCCTTGATTTACGTGCCACTCTCTCAATTTGTGTGTCGATTGCCTCGTTTTGCGTGTCAAATTCGTCGAATATCAAAATTAAACAAATTGGCAGTGCATTTAGGGTATTGCCGATGTTCCAGTCGCAACGACGTAGTCCGTTTTGCGATCGGACGTCGTTTGAGCAACGCCGAGGGTAATTTTTACCTGGGAATGCCTCGATTTGCATGCACAACCTCCATTAAACAAATTTATAGTGTATTCATGGTATTTGAGGGTGTTCCGAACACAACAACATAGTCCGTTTCACGATCGGACGTCGTTTGAGCAATGTTGAGGGCAATTTTTATATAGGGCCGCCTCGATTTGCATGCACAACCTCAATTAAACAAATTGGTAGTGCATTTAGTGTATTGACGATGTTCCGGACACAATGACGAAGTCCGTTTGTCAATCGGACGTCGTTTGATCAGTCTCGCGCTTTAATTTCGGGTGTCAGTCCACCCTTTTTGATCGATTTCATTCGGTTTGATTGCGAGGGCCTCGACCAAGCAGAATTCGACATCTTGATCAGAATGATGTCATCCGTTTGGCAATCAGAGGTCATTTGACCATTTAAGTGATGTGTGTCGCTGAGGCGCGTATTGCTTTATTCACCAGTTTTGGTCTTTTCTTGCGTGGTTTGAGATATAGGAGTCAACACCTGCTCTCAAAACTGTGATGTTAAATGCTACATAGAAAGTGACTGATCCAGCTGTTTGGGGAGATCTGACTTCTATCAATAAGCATCAATAAAAAGATGCAAGATTCATGGTTCTAGAGACAAGCATCGTATTCACAAAAAATTGGCTAACAATAAAGCTTTCTCTGTAACGCAGAAAATAGAAACCCAAAAAACTAAAAGATTTCCCATAAGTCTTTAAGAAACATCTAAGAACACAAAAAAGCACGCAAATAGCATAAAAACGTTCTAAAGTGCTAGAAACAACATACACAGGATTAGAAAGGTACCATATCATGCATTTCTCCAGAAGTAGAAAGATGAATGTGCCCTGATAATCGAATCTCTTCCTTTATATGTTCATGACTTCGATCTGCATACCTGCAAAATTATCATTTTCCTAACATTGTTATAGAATATTTTTAGGTATCCACTTCCTTGAATTACTTTATGAATTAAATTAGTTTTTAGCTTAATTTTTGAAGTTTGATTGTGAAAGAAATGAGAATACTACATTTTTTTGTTTGTCTTATCCAAATGATGGATCCAACATGACTAATGTCTATTAATTGGAAGAGGGCAAAATTATGGGAAAAACTTTGGGCGGGAATATCTGGACCCAATTTTTCTTTTTAACGAGATATGCATAAAATTTTTAAGAACATGATTTTATGGATGTATAACAATTTATTTGAATTATCTTCATGGAAAATTTCAGATTCAAAAGCAACTTGTAATTTTGTTATTATGGATGAGATTTGAAATTAAATTTGAACCAAATTTCTGTTTTGAATTTCTACCTACTTAACTCTTATAAATAGAGAAGCATCAATTTGCATTTACTACTTTGTTGCTGTGGGTTTGTCAATTTAGAAGAAAAGAGAAGAGAGAGAGAGAGAGAGAGAGAGAGAGAGTAGAGAGAGATAAGAGGCTAAAGAGGTACTATAGGATTATAGGAATTATATATATATATATATATATATATATGATGAAAAATAGAAGTGAATTGGAAAATAAAAGAATGGAGATAAAATGACAGAAAACATTAAATTGTTCCCAAATGTGGTCAAATGACTAATTAGTTATTGGCAATGTTGACAAGGTGGAAAACAATTATGACCACAAGCACCACGTCAGCACAATTACCATAATCACCACTTGTGTCGGTCCTAAGAACAATCTAATCACGAGAAGAAGATGGTAGAGCTATGAGCTCAATGACCTGAAGAATCTGTGAGAGAGTAGCAAAGATGTAATAGAGTAAACCATCAATTGAGCTTGAATAAATTATAGAGATATACGAAGACTAAAAAGGAACTTGTAATAAGAAAATTCTCATTTTATTTATGTGAAATAGTCAATTTAATGAAAAAGGAATGATATTGAAGAATCTCATCCAATTTTCCATTCAAAGTACTAAAGTACATTGAATAGATTTTTCATCAGATTATAAAGAGAATATATCAGAGTAGATCAAATATATTATTATCCTAAAGTTAAGTGAAATGAATGAAGTCTCATGCCCCTTTGTCAAGCTTCTAAGACATGATGATGGAAGAAATGAGGCGTCCATGTGAGAATTGTATAGTCAAAAGCTTGTTTTTTAGGAGTACTTAGCAATATTTGTTGGTTTGGGAGATAGGGAGTCAAAATAATGACGTTTTTCATAAAATCAAATGAGAAAATGAAAGACCAAAGACCACAAAAAATAGTAGTTACCATTTCATTTAATAGTTGTAGCAATATCGGATGTGAGTTTCATTTACGAGAAATTAGTGGAGGCCATCAACAAACACCACCACAAAAAAGGGGAGGAAAAGAATGATTTAATCAATTATATCATAAGATGAGGAAAGTACATAGTATAAATATGGATGAGGGCAGGAGTGGATGCACACAGACAAGTATGGGATGTCCCATGATTGCAACTTTAGATGCATATAAGTGATAATTCCTGCTAGGGTATGTATGGTAGTTATTTTACGAGAGTGAGAACATTAATTGCAAAACAAAGAAGAGAAAGGGAGATAGATATAGCACAATTTAATTTCTCTCTAATAACATGTTGAGACAATTGAAATTTTTTTCGTACTTCTACTATGATATACGTGCTTATATCAAAATATACAAGAGATAAAATATGAAGGAATATCTTCATTACAAGGACATGTTACTATTAAATAATTAATAATTTTCAATTTGATAAAATCTTTGCAATAACAACATGAGACCCTTATAACACCCTAAGATAAAAGATTCATCACAAATAAGAATACGTATATATCTCAACCAAAGTCTTAGACAAATCAAAATTTGTCAAAATAAAAGCAGTGACAAAACCTGCAATTTTACACACTAAATTCTTTTTCTTTTTTTTTCTTTTTTTTTTTATGAACAAAAAATTCTTTTTCATATGCATAAGCATTACATTACATTAACATGTTCAACCAAGTACCCATTGATCATAGTGCCCGTAACATATAGTCACGCATAGAACATCGCCAAAATTTATAAGAGTCATGTTTGCATATGTTGTCGCATTCTTCTAATGATTGTTACCTACCTATTTCTCCCTCTTCTTGTAAGCCATACTATCTCTCTTGACGTGCTCTTACCTTCAATAGTAAAAATAAGTGTTGCTCCAATCAATATACTGTCTTTTAGAGGGAGATAGTTTCTCCTTAGGACTCCCCCTCACAAGGAATCTCTTGCCCTAGTTTTCTTCATCAACGGACTAGATCTTAAGTATCACATCACTAATTAAAGGTTAATTATTCAAAACTTCCAAGCATATGATATCTCTTCTATATAATATAGTATCAAAAAATTGGTTATAAGAGGGAGATAAAGAAAAAAAATAACAACAAAATTTGACACTCTTCATTGACAATCACCTAACCAATTCTTATATCACAAATATTTGAACTAAATTGATTCATATATGACTAAATTTGCAAGCATTCTAACTTGTGTAACAAATAGAATAACTCCTAATAGAGTTATTTGGAGACGCTTTGGTCATCAAACTTGACTCCAACTTCAGTCATAAATCTTTTGCAGTTGTCTCTTCTAACACATTCACCACAATCTCATTATCCAATCACAATTGGATAGCCAAAATGCTTTTTAACTCTTCTCTATTTTTCATCTTCACTTATTGCAGGAATATTCAACCACCCATGAGTGCTTTTACTAGATATTATTGAGAAAAACCTCTACACATTTTGATAATCCCAAAGCGAAAATTCTTTGACCCATCAAATTTATCAATTTTGAACTCCATCGTCATTTATAAGGAATTACTATCGAATACCATTTTTACTATTATAAGTGCGAAAATTGACTCAAAGTAGAAGCATCAACCATGATCGAGAATGTTGTATCACAGAGTAATACAAAACAGAGAAAAAAACAACTACAATGAAGAGGCCTAGATTTGCAATGATTCAACTTCAAACAAACTAACATTTCACATGACAAGAGAGAAGCAAAGTGTACAAAAATATAAGCACTTATAAGGCCTTTTCTAAGTACACAAACACATAAAGAAGAAAAAAATTGAGCATCTTAGAACATAAAGATCACCTCATACAAAATTTTCTTCTTCTTGCATGCATCGCCTAGTCTCCAAAAACACTAGCAACAAATAAGATATATGATAATTGAGGGAGATCTCCAAAATCAAGATGCTTCAAACCCCCAGATGAATACCTTCTCTTACAGCACCATAACTAATCCCAAGAATAAGAAAGGAAACAATTGCACAGATATCAAGGGCAAGATTTTTGAATTTAGATTTTTTTTCAAAACAATTGCACATATACCAAAAGCATTCATGGTGGCTATGGCTTTGGAGCAACTAATGAAGATAATAAGATCATATTGAATTTTTCTTTAGCTTATGATTTTATAATTGTTAATAACTTATTTAAGAAAAGACATGAGCATCTCATCATTTATAAGAATGGATATAGTAAAACTCAGATTGATTACTTTCTTATAAGAAAAATAGATCGTTTATATACAAAGATTATAAAATTATTCTGAATGAAAGTTTATATATCCAACATAGCTTACTAGTTTTGGACTTTAAGATGAATGGACAAAATATTAAAAATAAAGTTAATCATTACTCTAGGATTAGATGAGGGCATTTAAAGAATATTAACAAAAATATTTTTAAGAGTAAGATTCTAGTTCATAAGATTTTATTTGTGCATGAGGAAGTTAATGTTATGTAAGAAAAAGTAGTTAGTGATATTAAGAATGTTGCAAAAGATGTGTTTGGAATATCAAAAAGAAAAGCTACTAATAGAAAAATAGTTGGTGTTGGAATCAAAATGTGCAGGAAAAGATAAAAAATAAGAAAATTTGCTATAAAAATTAGTTTAGTTATAAAAACTCTGATAATTGGGAAAAATATAAAGAGGCCCGCAAGAAATTTAAGAAAACAATTTGCAATGCAAAGATTTTAGCTTTTAATTATGATTTAAATAATATATTAGATATTAAGGAGGGCGAAAGATATATGTATAAGTTAGCTAAATAAGGAAATATGAGTAGTAAGGATTTAGTTCAAGTAAAGTGTATTAAGAATGAAGATCAAAAAGTGATTTTATTAGAAAGGGATATTCAACAAAGGTGAATGAGATATTTTGCTAAACTTTTTAATGAAGATTATGAGAATACAAATGACTTTAATGATCTTAGCACCTTTAAATGAAAATAAAGATTTTTTTTCTCGGCGCATTAGTAAAATCGAAGTTAAAGATGCTTTAAAGAAAATAAGTGTGGAAAAGTTGTTGGACTTGATGATATTTCAATAGCGGTGTGGAAATGCTTAGGAGATAAAGGAATTTCTTGACTTACTAAACTTTTTAATATTATTTTCAAGGCTAAAAAGATGCTAGATGAGTGGAGAATGAGTGTGTTGATTCCTATTTTTAAGAATAAGGTGATGCACAAGATTGCGCAAATATTGAGGAATTCAGTTAATGTGTCATACTTTAAAACTATGGAAAAGAGTTATGGAGCATAGGTTGCGGCGTGACACTAATGTTTCTCAAAATCAATTTGCAGGTAGGTCTACTATGGAAGTTATACATTTATTGAGAGGTTTGTAGTTTACTGCTTGAAGGCGATTGTGTCCTATCACCAACCCCATAAAGGCTTGTTGTTGTTGTTGTAAGGAGGCTCATGATTCATGGAAGCTGAAGCACAGATAGTAGACTTATGGAAGGGCGTTTTGGGGAAATGAACTAATTAGTCAGTTTAACACTTAACAAACATAAAAATTACTGACCTTTAAATACAATAGTGCTGAACCAAATACATAATATTTGACAGATGGCATTGGAGCCTAATAACAGTGTCATGTAAATAACAATGAACCAAATAGCCCCACATTCCTCTTGATGGAAAACCTTTTAAAAATCACTTTCTCAAATTTGAATTGAACTATTTCTATAGAATCGGCGTATGCACGTTCTTAAGCTAGTACGGTCAAGGTACTATAGACCTTGTCGTTTACTTAATTCGAGTTATAAGAAAACTGTAAACCATTCTTACGCTGAAGCATTTCAGGCAAACCAGTGTAGTGCAGTGCCTCCTGCTACACTCCTTACACAAGGGATTAAGATGTGCCCGCCAAAAACCAAATAAATTGTGATAATTACAGACGAATGTTAATGACGTACCAAAAAAAGCACGAAACTTTCAAAGAAACTCTCGGGCGTTTCCCGTTAATTTCACTTTCCCTTTACTTCAGACCAATGAGATCCTCAGGCCTAACATTTCCAGGACTAACGAAGCCACAAACGAGAAAGAAAGAACTTCACTTCACTGACTACTAAGGGCCAACAGGCTCTGTTTTAATTGGGGGAAAATGATAGAAATGAAATGAAGGTTAATCATGAATCAGCGAAATTTGATTTGAGATTACAATTCCTTTTTAATTTCCTTTCAAGAAACTTATGAAAAACACTTACTTGAAAGAATTACAGCAAGAGCGCCACTTAGAGGCCGAGGAAGTCGAAAGCTCAAAGCTTGGTGGCCTCCATAACTTGATATGACTGAATGGCGAGGGAAATGGTCCCGTTAAGGCCTCGCATAGGCAAAGGGTTTTCATATCTCTTCTTGCTCTTACTCTCGCGGGAAGAAGCGAAACGAAAAGGAGACAAAGCGTTGGAGGTTTCCCAGCCTCTCCCTCGCGATTGCTCGGTGAGCCTGTGTTCTGATAATGGTCATGAATTTTTATAGTTTATATAAAACGGTCTGGACCAAAAGAGCAGACCGGAAAAGTTTTGGAACGTGAAGTATGGCTGTTGTTTTAGTTTCTGAAGCTAATTATGTCTCTAGATTGTATGTATTTATAAAATTAATATTTAAATATTTTTATTGTTGATAATATCAACAATAAAATTTCAAATATTTTAATTTAGTCTACTAAATATGCCTATCCTATATTTATTAAACTATTTCTTTTTTTTTTAGTCGAATCTTCTCTCGTAGGAGTTGAAGTATCTCATTATGAGATTCTTCCATTTATCAGATTCTCTCTACTAAGGAAGGTCCTGAGGTTCCTTCTCCAGTGTCATTTTGCCCCCCAGGGTAGAAAGAGGCAGATATCGGGCATCCATGATTCATAGACTGATTTCTAGACTGGTGGGAGTTAGAGCGAGAAGCTCCAATGATACGACTGTTGTGCCTATTGACCATCATAGCAATACTTGAAGTTGTGGGATAATAATTCTCACAGACGGCGCAAAATTGATGCAGGCAAGAATATACATGGCAATAAAGTTAGAAAGTTTATGTCTCAGCGTTGTACGGATATCCAGCACACAAATAGAAAATAAAATAACACTAGGTTTTACGTGAAAACCCCTGGAAAGGGAAAAAACCACGGGGTCACGACCAGTTGAAAAATTCCACTAATGTTTGTTTGAGATACAAGAGGCTGACTCGCCCTTAAAATTTAGGACGATGAGATTACAATGAATCACTTCTAGATTGAAATCCAGTTACAACGTTGGGTAGAGTTCCGGCGTCACTTGGAAATCGGGCGGAATTCCAGCGTCACTCAGGCGTCGAGCAGAATTCCGACGATGGTCGTGGAGGAGTTTCCTCCCTCCAATCCATCTCTTCTTCTTCACATTCTTTTCTTCTTCTTGCTTAGGTCCCCTCTTAAGAGAAATGAGGGGTCTATTTATAGATTTTTTGGAGTTGTATGGCCTGTAAATAGATGAGAGATCATGGGCAAATATAGAGTGGTTTGGATGAACGGCCGATATTGAATCCTTCAATCGTAGATCGTTTATCAGACATTTGAAGGTCTTAATGACTTCGGAATTATCTTGGGCTCATTGGATTCGTCTCGTCGAGCCGCTTGATTCGACTTAAGCTAGACATGTTTGAAAAATGTTTGTAACTCAAATTATGGTTTGAACATTCCAACAGGGTCATTGATTTGGACCCATTTGGGCTCGAATTGAGTTGAATTTGGTGACGTTCGTCAGTATTTCCGAGACAATCAGTTCGACTACAAGTTTGCTGAAATTGGAGTTCAGGTGATCCCAAATTTAATTTTTGAATTTCCAGCTTGATTTTGCTTTGAGATTCGTGCCCTATCAAGATAATTTTTCGACGATATATCATTTGCCCCCCTATTTTTGGACGTCAAAGCTCCAGAAGTCCAAAAATACTTATTCCGACATTTTACATTGATCGAATTGTAAAAAAATTGCATTCCAAAAAATATTAACTTGCTCAATCTCAATCACAGAGGCCCCGTTGAGCTCCGAAAGTGTCAAAATTGGGTTTGGAACGTCAAAAAACATGTTTGGGGACCCCAAAAACGTCCGATTTAGACTATCCGGGCTGAAAATCGGGCTAGGACAAGTGTAGGCAACTGAACTGGCCGACAAAATTTTGAAAATTCCAGAAAATTCAGGAAACTTCCCTCTTCCTCCAAAAAAATTATAAATAGCCCCCTAGGACCAGGGGGAAACTTGCACATTCTCTTCTTCTCCTTTTGGCTTTCTGACAGTTTAGGCTTTCCGCTATTTTTTAGTAGGTGACTTTCCCTACTTGACTCAGCGCCCCTCCTCTTGTACAGAAGTTACAAATTTCTCTTTCTTTTCTTTCTTTCTTTCCCGTTTCTCTTCCTACTCTAAAGGCTTTCCGCTATATTTTATAGGTGACTTTCCCTACTCAAATTTAGCACCCCTTTTTAACAAAAGAGTTAAAATGGGTGATCACACATCTGAAAGAAATCCTCCAGCCAAAGAAGATCATCTTATGCATCGATCTGAAGGTTCAAAGAAGACTCATAATTAGGTGCTGAAGACTGATGATGTTATTTCCACCTTCATTGACTATTCTTTCGTCTCCTTTAGGAAAAAAATTTATTTTCCTAACGATCTACTGATGAAGGTGCTGACAAGATTTGATCGTGCCCATTTTCCTCCCCCAGGATATGTGATGGTGTATGAATTCAGTTTGTGAGCGGAGCTACGGTTTCCACCATCTCCTGAATTGATTGATATTCTGACGATCTGTGGATTGAGTTTATCTCAATTTTCTTATACCGCCATGTCGATAGTAATGGGTCTTATCGTACTTTTCAGAGACTGTGGAGTGGTGCTATCTTTAGAATGTCTTTCTTGGATTCGGCGTCTCATCAACGATACGCAGGATCGTATCTCTTTTAGATCCAAGTGGTTGGACATTAGTACTCGAGATATGTCAAAGGGTTGGATCAGTGACTTCTTTTTTGTGCAAAACAATTGGAATTTCAAGAAAAAGGAAAAAATTGAAAGAGTTAACCGTTTCCCTTCATATTGGAGCAGAAGATTTATTGAAGATTCTCAAGCTTCCTATTTTTGACGCCCTACATTATAAGGTGCATTATTTGAGCAGATATATAGACGAAGAATACTTGTTCAAAGTGGGGTTATCTACTCAAGCAAGAAGATCGCATGCACAAATGCTAAAAAAGTCTGCCAAAGTTTTGGAGGCAGTTTCCCAACCTTAAAAAGTTCCTTCTAAACAACCAGGGAGTGAGAGTGATTTGCAGTCATAAAAAAGAAGAAGGCAGATGAAATTTTGGCAGTTGCCAGCAAATGTCCTCGTATCCCTCCCTCCAAGTTATATATTTCAAAAGATGGTTTGAAGCATCAGTGCGTTGGCCGTCGACAGGCTGAGGAGTTGGTGAGTTCACCTTTCCTTCTCTCCTTTTGTGTTATATATATATATATATTATATATATATATATATTCTTTCAAAAGATATATTTCTTATATAATTATATTTGTATTGCTTCAGTTAGAGTAGCAAACAGATTTTAAACATGATATGACCATGACTTTGAATGACTGGAACAATAAATTTGTAAAGGTCAAATATCTACAGAGAGAACACAAGAAGAAATACGATGGCAAAGTTAAGGAGATGCAGACAGTAGAGGAGCACTTGGCAGAGTGTAGAGCAGAGCTGGCAAACAGGATAACTTTAACCTCCTTACAGAATGAACTAATGGATTGTTTACATATAGAGTTGGTGGATACACAGGCGATGATAAAACAATATATGAGAGATCATCAAATCATTGAAGCTGTGAATAAGAGACCCTAGAGTATGATATCAGAGAAGGAAGCCCAGCAATTGCCGTCTGCAGTCATAGAAGAGTTCAAGAAATCTTTTGCCTTCAAGATAATGATTGAGAATCACGTTCAGGAAGCTCGCAATCATATTTATGATGTGGATGTGAAGGCTTTCGAGGCAGAGTGTATGAAGGATGGCATCATCAAAGATTTTATGAAGGGTGTGAGTGTAGTGCAGCGTAAGACTGGAGCAAAAATCGAGGGGTTGACTCTTAGCCAAGCTTTTGGTGATCCTTCTTCAAACTCTGGTGGTGAAGAATTAGAGAGTAAGTTGCATAAGGCTTTTTCCTTGGAGGAGGATGAGGATGAGATTGAGATCCTGTAGGATGGCTTTAATGTTGTTTTGTACCACTTTGTTTTCTTTCAAGTGATTATATATGTATTTAGTATTGATGCTTTCATATGATGTACTCGATGTTTAGTGATATATAAAGAAATTATTGGTATTTCTCTTTTTCTCACATACATATGGAATAAACTCAGTTTTATTTCAATGAGAAATATTTTGACGTTCTTTTTTTACTTGAGTGAATGCTGGAGATATCCTTTTTGGATATCTTGACCTATCCAAGATTGTTAATCAAAGCATTTGCTTGATGATTTTAACCTGTATGGAAGAGGTCAGATCAAATCCCCCTGGGATTGGTCATCCGGTGATTGACATACAATATAAATTGTGTATTTCTCAAATCACGAAAAAGGAGTTTGAGGAGAATAGATATTATCACGATAAACTGAAAATCACATTATTGTATTATATAATATAATACAATAATTCTCTAGTATAACTTAGGGATACGAAAAAAGAGTTCTCCCACAATCAACACATAAGAAGTGTACGAAAAGTCAGCATAAAACTTGAAAGATACAAAACATAACCACTTAAGGGGACATAACACGAGACAAATACTACCAACAACATAACATGTGAGAAATAGTATTATCAACTCCTACTGATAGCACTTGCGAAGGTTGCCGACATTTCAAGTTCGGGGGAGCTGCCACCAAATAAGAACCCTCCTAGAAGGGGGAGAGTTTGTTATGCTGAGGGTCTTTTCCAGCATGTTTGATACTCCGTAAAACTAAGTCCCTAATAGAGATACTTCGAGGTTTCACCCTTCAGTTATAGTGACAAGCAATCCTTGGGTGATATGCAGCTGTCCTGAGTGAGGCTTCATCTCTTACTTCTAGGAGGAGATCCAAATTTGTTATGAGCCTCTCCTCGTTATTACTGAAGTTAAAAGTCTAAACCCTATTGCTCGGGACTCCAATATCAACCGGTATGACTGCTTTTGTACTAAAATAGAGGTTATACAGAGTTTCTCCTATAGGAGTTCTGGTAGTGGTCTGATAAGCCCAAAGAACATTTGGGAGTTCTTCAGTGCATTTCCTCCCAGCCTTCCCTAAGCGTGTCTTTAGCCCTTTCAGAATTATTTGATTTATAACCTTTGTTTGCCTATTTGCTTAAGGATGGGCGACCATTATATGGATGAGTTGAATATAAAAATTCTTAGAAAAAGAAGTAAAGGTTTTCCTCGTAAACTATGTACCATTATCAGTGATGACTCTTGTTGGAATGTTAAAA